CCGGCTCCTCCTCCTCCTCCTCCTCCTCCGCCTCCCGCGAAGCTGCTGACCTTTCGCTGGCGGCTGAAGGGGAAAGGCTTGATAAATAATAAATCGCTCACCCCAGGCTCTTCCCCAGAACCTTTTAATTGAAGTAGTTCGAGTTACTCTAAGGTCAGGGCGATCGGCATTTCAACCCCAGCCCGGCGAACGCATCCATCAAGCACACGCAGAACCCTCGTCTTAATCGCGTTGGGTTTAATCGCACCAAATCCTTACGCCCGCGTCCTTCACCCAGCAGGTTCCCCCGCGAGCCGCCAGCCCCACCAGCGCGGGGGAACATCCCCGACGGCTTCGCCACCCACCGCCCGAGCCCCCAAAGCCACCCCTGCCCTGGGGGCTTCCAAGGAATGATTCCCTGATGTTCACCAGGTGAGGGCTCCCACCCTCGCCCCCCGCCAGCGCGTGCTGCCTCCGGTACTGCCAGGTTTTCCCGCTGATTTGGCCACGTACCCGCTTCAGAATAACAGGGCGTACGGGGCAGGGAAGGGCACCAGGCGCGGGGCGTGGGGACACCCTCCCATCTGACAGCCACACTACGCCGCTGCCCCCGTGAACCCACATTTCTTTGCACCTTCCAAGCCCCAGGTTGGCTCGGGCTACGAGCAGCAAGGCAAGGTGCAGTAAAACACGCGGTGACGCAAACGGGTGGCCGAGAAGCTGGACGGTCACCACCATTCCAGATGTAGAAGGGGAAGGAAAAAAACCCACGAAGGGGTCTCTTACTCCCACCCCTCAGGCCACAGCTGCACGTGAGGGTAAAGCCCACCGCTCCCCGAGCCCATCACTGGGCCAGCTGGGAGCGCTCTGCCCCGAGGGAGCTGCCCCAGCGACTTTTTCCAACAGAGAAAATTAATTCCAACTTTCTGCTTGTCTGCTCTGCCCAGGAACTCACTCAGGGCACACTGCGAGGCTGCTGCTCTAGCCTGTGTTCTAAATTTAGTGTTATTGCTCAATATGCTTCAGATGACTCAAGGAAGACGCAGCCAAGCTCAGTAACGATGCAAGGACGGAGCTCGTCACAGGAGCTGAGAGAGGAAAAAGCTCCTTCAGCAACATTGGCGATTTTTTAGAGAAATGACAATAAACAGGAGACCACCGAGGTGTGAACGAAGCGAGCGGGAAACCTCCCGTGTGTTACTGCGACTCCCCAGTGCTTGCCCTTTCAAAGCACTTCCACTCGCCGTTTTTGGCAAGCACAGGGCATCACCAACAGTTAA